GGGGGGGGGGGGGGGGGGGGCTGTGGGGCGCCGCCCCCCCCCCCCCCCCCCCCCCCCCTTGGTAGGCCTTCTTTTGAGCAAACAACCTACAATATTCAGGTGGCGAAAACGCCATGACAATATCTTGGCCGTAAAAGCCATTGTTGAAAAGCCCACTTTTTTAAAATTTGTCTTTTTGTAAAGTATTTTCGCCAAAGGTTCTTGTCTTTAGTTAATATGGGCCTTCATGCCGCGATAATACGACTGAGCCCGCTGATACACAAGGGAGAGCAGCGGTATAAACCATATATAGTCGGCGATCCCCGGATGGTGTCCCTGTCTGTGACCCCCCCTTTAAAAAATCCTGGCTACACCCCTGCATAATGATATCAAACATTCCAATAGAAAAGCTTCCTGGTTGTGTATTCCCAATTCTTAATACGTGCATTATCGGAGGTCAAGTAATCTTGTTTTTAAACACTTAAAAGACATGACGTAACGTTTTAGTTTTAAAGATATGTTTCAGATACTTAGGTTCTTTTCACCGTGTAACACTTACCAAGGAAGAAGGCAGTCAATGCACATATTTTGAGGCATTGCTTTCTTCTCCTTAAAAATCTTTGTGCTGTTCTCGGTGCTATGTAAAAGTGGTGGTTTTAAAACTCTCATTTCGCAAACTTTGTTTTTATCATTTAGAGTGTGGTTGATGCCAGTGCACAACGACTTGTTAGCTTGGCACAGCAGTGGGAGAAACACAGGGCACCTTTGATAGAGCAGTACAGAGAACTGAAGCAGCTTAATGCTAACAGAGTGGTAAGTCTGTGAGAAACACAAGTCACCTTTGAAAAAGCCGTACAGAGAACCGAAGTGGCTTAGTGCTAATAGAATTGTGCAATGTAGGTCTGTGGAATCTGTGGTCGGCCCACCATGTGTGGTAAGATCGTTCTTAATCCGAGTGTATTTTTTTTCTCTTTGTGTTTCTTGTACTTAGTCGGAAGCTCAAAAGCAGCTGGAGGAGATAAAGTCTCTTCGAGAGAAAATGAAAGAAGTTGCAGAGGAGGCACGAGGGAAGGAAGACATTTACAAACAACTGGTAATGTTTGCGTACTTTATCCAATATATCTGCTCAAGTTATAGTTATGAATGCTCGTAACTTCAAAGTTATACATGAAGGCTGCATTGGTCACAGAGTTTTAAGACGGCACCTGCCTATCTGCCTAACACGGTGAATAGTTAGACTTGCTACAAGTCGACCTGTGATAAGTTCTCAAAATATTTCGGAACTGAGAAGCCGTGTTTGTTTTATTTTTGCGTGGAAGTCGCGCGGATTTTAAAGCTTGCACCATACTAGTGCTGAGGCTGCGCACGGCCAATTTACTTTAGTGTAAACATATCGCGTCTCTCATCATGTGATTGGGATGCCTGTGGTTTGGATTCCATTTAAGGATGACAGGTGTTCAAAGTCGAGCTCTGTGGAAAGTGTGGCATGTTCAAGAACTTTGTATAAGGTTCCTCGGTACGCTCTCTCCTACGTACATCATCCACTTTGTATTTCAGCTGCTGGAACTTTGGTAACTACCCAGTTTTAGATCTTTCTGCTCGAATTTTTCAGGTTGTTGAGTATGAGACTATGAGAAAGGATGTGAATAGATCAGCGTACACTCGCCGAATACTGGAAATTGTAGGAAATATCAAGAAACAAAAAGAAGAGATAAATAAGGTAGTGCTTTTAATCTTTACCGGCTTGTAGTGATAATTCTATTGTATGGAAATGATTTTGACTTCAAATTTTATTTATGCTATATTATAATCCTCTGGTAATCTTAGTTTATCAGTGACAATAAATAGCGAAACTAACTCGTAAAGTAATTTAACTCCAAATCAGCTTCAGTCTCTTCAGTCAGCGAGTTGTGAGCCGATTCCTGCTAGCCTGTCTTTTAGCCTGTCTTTGTTAGCTAGGGTTTTAAACTGTTTAAGGTTTGCTTATCATATTGCGTCTCGTCTAAGTGAAATCCCTGAGGGTCAGTTTAGTCGGTATAGGGCTGGCTTGTGGAGCAAGATGTCGTGAGTTCGATTCCCGAAAACGGAGCGATACTCATGTCCCAGGTTCTTAACTGGGAAAGAACGTACTACCTTTGTCTTGCAGCTGCCTCGACCTTCACCTAGCTGGGTTGACCACGTAAATATGGTGCGCGGTCCCATCTAGTTTCGACTTAGTGCTAAATACATTGAGTACACTGAAGGAAACAAATGTGAGTGTTTTGTTCTGAAGTTGCTCGTTAATTTACGCATGTGTTTGACAGTAGCTTGTGATTAACATGGCAGATTTTGATCGACACCAAAGATGTGCAAAAAGAAATCAACCAACTTTCAGGAAAACTGGACAGAACATTTGCTGTAACAGATGAACTCATCTTCACGGTTTGTTTTTAAAGTGTTTGCTTAACGTTTCAGACAAGAGCTAATGACAATGTGGATTTTGATTTCTATAAGTCACGCAGGTAAATCCATCATTTTTTAAAATAACAAGCCCTTCAGGAAATTCAGAGTTTTGTAGTACCGTAAAATAATTTCGTGCAAATATTGAAGCCATAGTACCCGTAATACGTAGAATGCGCACCATTTGCCATGCTGGTGCTAGCCTGCGTGGCAGGCGTTAAAAGGGGAAGGAGAAGGGGGAATTTGGGCGTGCGACAGCGCGTGGGGCGCTCCTCCCTCGCGCGTGGTCTCGCGCCCTAATTCCCTTCCCCTTCCCTTTCGAACGCCTGCCATGCAGGCCAGGCTGGTGCACATTCTTCGTACGGGACCATAAATCCCGCATCAGGACTTAGACAGTTGTACTTAAAGCACATTCTTTACCTTTTCCCCAGAACAAAGTGCCTATTTACTAGCAATAGATTAACTAAGTATGATAAGCTCGCAGTCAATTCGTTTCCAATATTTTCTTGCTCAGGATGCAAAGAAGGACGAGTCCTGCCGCAAAGCGTATAAATATCTAGCCAGTCTTCACGAGGTATGTTCATTTAGTTCTAGCCGACCTACTATATGCCAGCAGTGTTTATTTAGACAGTCAGTCCACCATTTAGGCGAGCTCTTCTCGCTGTACCATTACCTTACCACGAACGACTTTTAGTCTTGTTCTAACGCCGGGCAGTTTCCACTTTCCAAGTCAAAATGGAAAAAAATAAACACCTTAGTTATTATCAAACTAGAATGTAAATAGGACGACCGTTTTCCACGGTTACTGGTCGTTTCCGTACCAGTTCATTCCGTCGACTTGCAAGTTTTTTCACGTACTTGGATTAAGGAACGAAGAATATTCACCCAAAATGTTTTCTTGTTCACATGCAAGCTATACTTGAAGTGATCGAAATTTTTGTACAATTTGACTGCTTGAATTTGTATCGAAACGACCGGTTACCGTTTTCCACCCATAAATTTCCAAATGTGCTGTCTAATTTTCAACCACGACAATGCCTTTAAATCAACACCTAAAAACTTACGTGATCGTTAATTTCCAGAATTGCAAGGAACTGATTAATTCAGTGGAAGAAACTGGACTCATCTTGAGAGAAATACGAGATTTAGAGGATCAGGTATTGTATGAGACATATTGATAGAGTGGTTTTCGTTTGAGTGTCGTAAAACCAAAACCACAGTAATTACTCTGGCCAATCACATAGGACACAGACAAGACATTGAACCAATCACAACTCGAAGTAATTACATGTGGCTGACGCAAAGCGCGGGAAAATGCATGCGAGCGCGTCACAATTGGCTTTGGTTTCACTTCTGATTGGATGAAAAGGTGGCGCGAATCTTTTAAGCCAATCGCATCGTGTAGAAAGTGCAAAACCAATTACTTTTCGACAATCAAATGAAAACCGCTCTATCAGTCCATAGTAAAACAACACAGTGGAGAAACCTTATAACGGGACCCTAGTAAAGCATACATATTCTCACAGTCACGTGGACTAAACTCGGCCTTTTTGAGTGACGCTGGTCAAGCGGAAGTGAGGCGTTTTCCCTTTTGATAGGCTGATTTAGCAACAGAACGGGAACGTCAGTTGACGACGGCGCGCGCAGATCAAACAAGTGGCTTGAGCAATGGCAGAGCGGCAAATTGGGCACCGGAAGTCGTGTTTAGTCCTTTCCACGCGCTTTCCCGTCGTCAACTGACGTTCCTGTCCTGTTGCTAAATCAGCCTAATATATCTTGACGCCTCCAAATTGGTAACGACACGACTTGCCCAAAACTAAAGTCAAACCACTGTCAAATATTGCAAAATGTCCTCTTCCGGTTGACATGCTTCGCTCAACTAACAACTTTCCCTATTACTACAGATTACTCCATTTGTGGCGCCTTCTATTCAACCAAACAATGTATTATTGAATGGTTGTAAGGCAAAGACATATGCAGGCGTCCGTCCCTTTTTCCAAGTCGTTGATCAATCCACAAGTCGGGCGAAGAAAGATTCAAATGTCCCCTCCCTCCCCCGGGAGAGCAAGATCAGTGCAAAAACCCCTCTTCCCCAGGGCCAACACTCGCCGGCTTGAAATTGATAGGTTTAGTTAACATCAATGTTCATTTCCTTTAGATTGAAATGGAAAGTCAGAAAAACACAACTACTAACTTGGAACGAATCTCAGCGGACTTAAAACAAATGAAGGACGAAAACAACACATTGGCGAAAAAACTCAAGGCAGCCAAATGAGAAAGCTGGTATTATTATATAAAATAGAAAATTTTGTAAAACGAGCCATACTTTTAGAAATAAATTGATTTTTATTGACCTTTAGTCGCGTTTACACCACAAAAATGTTTTCCTTTACCAGGAAAATTTTGTATTTTCTCATTTGCTATACTTTAAATAGGTTGTTACCATGAAGAGTGTCGCCCAGTCTCCCAAACCAATATCAAGACGTGCAATATAAAATCTAATCATACAAAAGTAAATGCAGTTATTTCAATCAAAGTTTTCGGTTTTAAGACCTCAAGCCTACGCGACAAGACCGCAATGTCATGTGGGTAGCTGTAAACGCTTTGCAGCTGTAAATCCGATTTCACAAACGTTCAACTTTGCGATTTTATGATAGGAGAACTTTGCTTCATGACTTTGGGTTTTGGTAATTTTTTTTTTGGAAAAATTATACTACTGCTTTGTGGTCCTAAAATAGTTGTAAATATAAGTTGATTAAGTGGCATTGAAAACAGATAGCAAAGATCCAAACTACAATCATTGTGATTTGGGCACCGGACACTGGCAACAGAAGAATGCATCGTTGAAATTACGCGCGATATTTTCGCAGTAAATTTAATCGGTCATTTCAAAAGTTGAAAAAAACCGTGGAAGGGTACTATGGTTAGACCATATCGAGCGGACATAATCCACCATTATTCTTCCTTGTTTGTTAAGATACATCTAAGTCAATTGTCATAATCTAGAAATTCTAGTTGTGTCCAGTCTGGTATCGTACAACAATGCGCGCCACTGATGTGTAGGTACCAAACAGAAACGTTAGAATACCAATGAGCATGATAGCGGCGTCTTTGAAAAAAGTGACAGTGGGAACACGGCCATCTCCCTCTGTTGTCAAGGTGGTGATGTGAATTGCCACCGGGAAAATAATGGCGAGTGTTGAGCAACTGATAGAGCCGACTAATGAAATAAAATTATCTAGTTGGGGTATGCTGATTGCCAGAATACCTGAAATTAAAACAAAACGGTTTTGATGAGACAAAACTGGTCGTTATATATGTTCTACCGGTGACGTCATGACAATTGACCAATAGGACAGTGAGTGATATTTCACGCCGCTCCCGACACAGCACATGTCAATCATTTTTTCCCGCGTGAATTGAAGGTGCGATTGCAAACTCAAAATGGGACTATGTTAATAATATTCGTTTGAGAGGACACACTATAAGGTCTTCTTAAGAGCTAGAGAGTATTACAGGGAGGTACTCCCTATAAAGGCCTATACGAGAGGCTCCGCCCGAAAAGGGTACCTTTTTCAGGCTTCAGGTATAAGAAAGGGTAGAGATTTTACTAGTTGAAGTATATGAAAGGATAGGGAAATCTGTCATTACTCTCTGTAAAACGGCCCAAAATGGATATCACGTTCATTTTATGGTTGCGAAAAAGTAGAGAAAACGTTCTGATTTTGTGGTTTATTCATACTTTAAAAACAGTATCAATTAAAATAGATAAAAAGTATTTTATTTAGGTGTCAATACATTTACTCCCAGTAATTACTTAAGCACAGAATTGGCTTAAAACAGCAATATCATCGTAACAGAACCTCTTTGAATACTATAATAGGCTTATACTCACAAGTAAAAATCACTGTTGCCGCCCTGATGGCGAAGTCGGCTACGTCCTGATATTCCTCAGGTACGTGTTTAAGAATCACAGGTTGGATTATCACCATGGGAACATAAAACTGAAGAAAATACGTCAGGAAAATGCAGCTGGCAAACAGCAGTTTCACTCCTAAATAAATTCTTAAAGAGAGAAAACCAAAGAGGTTAACGGAGTGAACGGTAAATCAACTCGTTCTTGTTGAAATGGCGTTGTTTGAGGGAAAACACTAAGAAAATAACTGATATAGGAGACCCAACTAAACATCTCCCCCTCCTTTTTAAGTCTCGTCAAAATGATTTTCTTTTGTTTGCAAGGATCTCTTCTTAAAACAACGAGGAGCGCTTGGGGTGGGGGCTGGGGGAGAGGTAGGATCATGGTGCGTGAAGGTTTTAACGAGTTGAGGGAAGAACTGTATAGTAAGTTTTCGGTGACGATCTAAATCCAAGTTCCAAATTTTCATGAAGAGCACCACAGAACCTGCAATCTCGTTGGCAGGGTGTCATCTATTTTCTCTGGAAATGTTGGGACGGTATAGTGGAAGTGTTTACATTTGTAACGTTTCTACATAAGCACTGAGACAGCAAAGCTGGGTGGGTTTAACACAAGTTGTTAAGATGAGGGTTATTGGCTATCGAAAGCAGATTCTTCATGTTCGCTATGGAGGGCTTATTACTCGAAACGTCAGATTTACCTATAGTCGACTTATCTGACTAAACCTCTCTTCCCCGCAGAACGGGCCTCTTTGTATCGTGGGGAGGCTGGGGAGAGGGAGAAATGAAAGCGCGCGGGGGACGATGGGATGGGGAAAGAGAAGAAGCTCCCGCCTTTTCTCTCTTCTCATCGTCGCCCGCGCGCTCGCTATTTTTATTGAGATGCCCAGCTGGAACCTCTGCGGAGGAGAAAGTGACAAAACCAAATTTGGTTGGCGTTCGTCCTTGGTCACGCAGTGTATACCTACCCTTCATTGGGCAGATTCAGTGTTATACTGCCCAGACATTTTTCCTGACAAAACATGTATCCCAAAATTCCTATCGAGGAAAACAACACGAAGACGATTCCCATTCCAAGGTTAATGACCCAGCCGTAGTTTTGAGGCGCTGCCATCTTGTTCTCAATCGGCAAAACCTATCAATGACATACATACAATTAACTCTTTCACTCACAGAGTCAGTAAAGGTTTTTGTTTTTTTCCAAAAAAAAAAATTTGCGGCCCTTCGGGCCTCAGTTTGGTCTAAAAAAGGGGGAGGGGGGCCGGGGCCCCCCGGGCCTCTCCCCTGGATCCGCCACTGGTTTTCTTGTTTGTCATTTGGCTTTATTAACTGACACGATAAAGCCAAATAAATGAGTTTTCCACCGTGAAAAGATTCAAAGAACCGAATCAAGGGATTTAAGAGCTGCGCGGTGAGGTTGATACATCGAATCATTGAGTTACTCTATTGGTAGAAACATGGTAACAAAAACAAGGATACATCGGACCTAGGCAAAAATTCAAATGCCAAATACATCATACTTACCACTGCAATTCCCTCAAAGGCATATACAGTCATTGCAAAGAAGACGGGTAAGTTCATCCACCCACTAAAGGCAGGCAGCCTGTCAACGTCATGAATGTTTCTTACGATATACTGAAATATAATAGCAATAGCTACAAGACAGAGGATGTTTGCCACGATGGAGAATGGGACTAGGGTACGAAGATCCCGGATGAAGGACAACAGGATTATTGGAAGAAGAATTATTGCGATCCAAGTTTTAATGTCCAGAGCGTTGGATACCTGAAACGTAGAAGAAGAGGAACTTGGAGGTTTATATCAAATGAACGGTGGGAGGGGTGGAGGGAAGGCTTCGTAGAGCGTAATCACTGATGGAGTTGTTGATGGCAATCACTAACTTCAAGAACACGGAAAGGTTATGTTAATAGTGATGACGAGGTATTAACCCTTTAAGCCCTAAGAGTGATCAACGTCAAATTTCTCCTTGTAATATCACTGCTTTATAAAACAGAGTGGCCATGAGAATTATGGACATGATCACACAAGATGAATCTAATTGATAGTTCAACAAATTCTCCCCACTACTTCTATTGAAAACGCATAGGGATAACAAAAGAGAATTTGAATTTTGATGTAAGGGTTTAAAGGGTTAAACGATGACGATAATGGTAGTCATGAAGAATGGTTGTGAAAATGAGGATGATGATGTTAACAATAAGGAGAATCAATTAAGATAAGGTGACGGTGATAACGATATGGCGATAGATATGTATGACACTAACGATGATGACGATGTTGTCGGATCATTATGCATCTAGTGCTGGTACTTTTTCTGTAATTGTAATTTTTTTTTCACCCATGAAGCACTTACGAGTTCTTAAGAACTCTTTCAAACGTGTCCGTGCGTTCCAGATCAAATTTCAATTTGAAGGTGTTGGTTTTTAGGAGAGGAGAAAACCGGAGTAGCTAGAGAGAAGGAAGAGAACCAACAAACTCAACCCACATATGGCGTCGACACCGGGACTTGAACCCAGCAGGAGCCAGGCATGGCACAACACTGCGCCACTCTTGCTCGCTAAATCGCTGCTGCTGATAATGATGGCGATATGATAGAAATAAGAAGAAAAGTGACGGAGACGAGAATGACAGTTGTTGCAGTTACGGTTGCATACTGTTAAAAAATTTCAAAGGCAAATAAAACCTCTCTTAGCACTCTCACCTGTCTTAGATTATCGCCGATAAATACAAAATATACACAGGCAATTCCCAGTTGTGATATACACAGAAAAATGTTCACGATGAGTCTGAAAAATGTTAAAAGCGTCTTATCATTCTATTTACAATAGTTCAACAAAAGGTAATGAATCAAGGTGTAGATGATAGAAAATAGCCGTCATTTTATGTTACGGGCGGGTGAAATAAACCTTCGAGGCCTTGGGTGAATTCGGCCCTTTCATAGTGAGAAAAGCTTTTGGAATTTAGTGCTTAGTCTTTAAACAATCTGTACGACGACAGCGTGTTTAAAAGAATGAGAAAATAAATAAACAGATCGGGCGGGAAAAAATAGCGCAAGGAAAGTGAAAGAACTTTACTTCGCGCCATTTTTTCCCGCCCGATTAGACTTTCCCTTAATCTCCGAGGATGAAACGAAAATACCAATTGGAGCAAATTTATCCAGTGGTCAGAGGAGATGCTCAGCTTCGTTACAACCTGACCGTGCTGTGGCGGTTGCTACTAACTGTTACGTAATCTATTCGATGGAATTTGAGCCTTTTTTTTGGGGGGGGGGCTGGTAGGGGGGAGGGGGAGGGGAATAAATGGTAAAGTTGTTACCTTACCTTCCAACATAGGCTCTTTTTGGCCAGTAGCGCCTCAGACATTCCTCTGCAACCTCTCCATAACCCAAAGCCGCCTCTCCAGTTCTACAAACAAAAAAGAAACAAAAGGGAGGTGGAGAAACAACATAAAATGATGAAAGTATGAATCTCATATTTTAGAACCTCGTCATGATGAAATAGCCGTAAAAGACGCGACTTGTGCAGTTGCGAAAAGAAAGCTTAAAAAATTCAGGATTGCCGAGATTCGAACTCTTACCTCTACGATACCTCGAGATACGGGGGAGGGGGCAGCATTCTAACCAACTGAGCTGCCAAGCCATTTGAAGCTGCTCATGAAATTACTATCACGGATAAACTTAAGGCAGAATATATATATCTACCCGATTTTTTGAAAACCAGCCTAACGAAATCTACAGTCATTTGAGTGAAAAGCCGTAGGTTTTTTAAGCTCCATAAGCTCCAAAATCACACCAATGAAGGAAAAGGAAAGGAGAAAAAGAAAAAGCGGGGAGGAAGAAAGGAGGAGACGAGAAAAAAGCAATGGTTGCACTCTTAGTTTTTATAATGCTACTTTGGAGATAGTTTTTGTACGAAAAAAAAAACTGTTGGACGGAAGAAGTCTATTTGGCAATAACAAATAACGTTTTCAAAAATCCGGCTAGATATATATCACCATAAAGTGGTTTTTGGGCTTCGTCACTCCAGTTATATAGTTCTTCTCTTATAAAATGTAGATTTAAGAAGGACGCTACGGTACGGCTATGTATTGAACGAACCAAAGAGGAAAGATACTGAATACAAAGGGTATGATTGCGACTGTAACTTGGACAAAGATCATCATCATCATCATCTAGCTTACCTTCGACAGAAGACACTACTACAATAAACCAAAAGATGCATGCAGTGAACCGTAACCGCAGCAACAAGCAACATCCCCAGGGGACCAACCTGAAAGATATATTCATATTAAGGTTATGGCCGAGAGGGATTGGTACATTAAGTCCCAATCCTCAATCATGAATATTTACTTCCGTCTTAGTTGGTTCCAGTCCTCTTTCCTACTCATTCGTTTCTGCTACGTTTCAAGTACTTATTTACACTGCCACAAAGAGTGTTAAGATCAATTAAGGTTTCTGGGAAACTGCCCACCTACCCCTCCCCTAAGTGAACATTAACACTTAGTTCTCACTTAGGGCAAAATGTTGGATTAGGGGAGGGGTAGGTGGGCAGTTTCCCAGAAACTTTAATTGATCTAAAGAGTGTTACATCAAAATATCCGATATGTGACAATCCACCGCGGGCGCGGCATAGCTTCGCTCCGTCACAGGACACCACGCCTAAATTGCAGTTCTTATGTGCAAACAAAAAGACATGGTTTTCGTGCTCACGCAAGAGTGTAGACATACCCCGAGTATACCTCTAACTTGGATTTAGAAGCGATCCATTTAAAACGACATGTGTTTTAGTTTGCTCTAGTTATAATAGAGGGTACCAGAGCTATAAGACATCTTGAAAATTTTACAGCATGGTAGAAGTTTAATGATAAGTCTGAATATACAATGACATTGTTTACTTCGGTTTTGTTGAAAAAGACCGTCTAATGCTTGCATCAGTGGCTTGCATAAACAATTGGCCCCTAAAACTAGACAAGCAAACTTACGATAATCCCAGCGTGCTTTACGGCTTCGGGCAATCCCAGCATTCCCGTCCCGATGCTTCCTCTTAATAGATGAGCCAGGGCCTGCATATTGCTGCATAGAAAAACAACAATTAATAAGGAAGTTTTGATCTATAAAACTGTCTGTTCGTTCCCAGGCTACTGGATTTTAAAAGGGCAGTTGCTGGACCTAAAAAGAATCCACTGTTAGTGATCCAACTGAGTGTAGAAGCCAACAATAAAGACACGCTACACACGTCTGTAGCCATCACAAGCTCCAAGGGCATGCGCAGAGTTCTCAGACAGGTCTTTTATCAACTCCTGGCCCCAGTTGTTGAAAAGGTGGATAACGCTATGCACTGGATTAATATCTATCCAGTCCAGTGGACAACACAATTGGTGTTCCTAACACGTATCCGCTGGATAGTGATTTATCCAACAGATAGCGCTAAGCAGGGTTTGAACAATTGGGGCCAGAGCCCCCCGCTTCTCTATTTCATATGATAACAGTTTATGTTCAGGCTGAAAAAACTCGAGGCTCTGGTAACGAGAATGAACCAGTTCGGCCGGTTCGCGCACTCGCAGATGATATGTGTAGCTTGCGCTTTTTGTGTCTTTTGTTTTAAAAAAAGAACTCACGTGGTTGTATTATTAAGATATTTTCTTTTCTCTTCAATAGATTCTTCTGAAGAAGGAGTATTTAAACCACCACTTGAGGAGCTATAAGATTTCTCCTCATTTTCGCCAACGAGACGAGCGTTTTCATCTGTTTCCCCGATGGGAGAGGCTTGTCCTTGACTATCTTTGATCGGTGGCGGATTAGGCTCATCATGCAAAGCTTGAAGCTGTATAAATACAAAAGATATCAGTTATATTCCTGGCCTCCAGTTGTTCATAACGTAGTTATGTCAGTAACTTATACATAGTGCTGTGTATCTATCTTTTGAAAATCTGAGGCCTGACCTGAAACATGCGTAAGTAACTGCTTTAAGGTTTTCACTGGCAAGATTTCTTCAAACATGACTCATGGTAGCCTGCAAGAGCATCCGATTTTTTCGGCTCATGGTGCTTTGGACATTTTTTTATCCAAGCGATTTCCACGCTCTGTCGACTCGACATGCAAATGAGAGTAAAGTTGGGCATAGTGTATAACGCTGATCAGAAAGCTGAAAAAGGAACTTAAATTGCTCAATGTTTTGGTTAGACAAAACTAACTTTCATTTCTTCTGTCTAAGCGAAACATTGGACGGTAATGTATATCAGTTTATGCTACTTTAACTATAGTACTGTATATCGGGTTATACGTTATAGTACTGAGTTTCTTTCTTGTCAGACTACAACAGCAACAATAATAAGCTTTATTTGCAAGACCGTTAACTTAAAAGTATTCCAAAATCGTACAACAAACTAAGATAACGATTGAAAACTACGTTGATAACAATTTTTTCCGAAGTTTAAAACAAGATGCTATGAATTAAATTAATTCTTTGTTAATAAGATACGAAGCAGATTTCAAAAAATGTCATAATCAATTCGTCAACCGATAATTACTTAATACTGCGATCAGAGATTGTAGCTTACTATAAAATTTATCTCTCATTTAGAGTATTCGGAACAGTAAAACAGAAAATGAATTTCGTCTTCGATTTGATTACATCTACAAGCAGGGCAAAAACTATCGAATCTAATTATTTGGTTGTATCTGCCAGTCTCGATGATGAACTTGTGGTTGCTTAACCGAAAGGCTTTTCTCTTAGCTGTTTTTCTAGTAAGGGCGAGATATTTTGAAGTGGCGTTACTAGAAATAAGAAAGGAGTGTCATACCTGTGAGTGCATTTCGAAGGCCTGCAAATTCTGATTGTCAATTTGGCAAGTTGAATTGAATAAGCAGCGTGTGTTGGTAATTTGGCATACACATTCATACCTTACAGTACTTTCTTAATAAAATATTTGTTGGCTCTACTTTTTCCTTTTGTTACGCAAAATGCGAGAGGTATCTATCGCGCATGTCAGACATAACGATTCAGTGATTCGAGATTACTTCTGTTAATTGATTATCTTTGTTCCCTTTCGCCATATTTCACACTGGCTTTCTTCTTCACTCTTCCTTTTTTTTAAAAATTTAAGAAAGCCAACCTTTATGATGTCTTTGCTGTTTGCTTTGTTGTTTTTTTTAGCCGCAAGTGCAACATTGAGCTGCAAACTCTCCACAACAAACCAACCAATATAAGACCAATAGTAAGAATAGTAAACCCGAATTTCCTAGATCACCGATTAAATGGGTTTTTATGTCCTCGTAAGGTGAACAATTTTTAGCATGAATTATGCTTTTTAAAATAGTTCAGTCTATGCGAAGGCAGTGATGATTATACACACTAACTGAAGGTCAGCGGTAAATAAGGTACCTGATTTGACTCGTACCAGTCTCTTTAATACCACACCTGTTATTTCAGTCTTGTCAAGAGACATAAATATGGCTCCTGGCCTTGTCTATTGGTCTTAAAAAAGTGTTTTAATTCTGTTAAGAATTCCGAGCCGAGTATAAAATGAAAAAGAAAACCTTATCTCTTTGAGCTAAAGGTTTCAACGGTTGCTTCGACTCCAAACAATGTAGTAATTTTTTTTCCGTTTTCTAAAGTAATGCTGAACATATGTCAAGCAAGGATACATTGCTGCGAGCGACAGGTGATTTTGAAGTAAAATCACACACCTCTGCTGAGTTTAAAACTTTCTTAGAACTACATCGATGGTTCCCCTTTAAAAAAAAACTCTACGTTTTTCATGCAAGGAAACGTAATAAATTGTGAAATAACCAGAAAACGTTCGAGCTAATTTTGTCTTTAATTAAATTTAAAATTCAAGCGTCTGCTCTCAAAGCCATCATTGTGCGGTGAAAATATTTGATTTCTGTAGAACTGAAAATTATCTTGTCTGTACGTGTTTTAAGTTCTCGGCTATTTATATACAAAAAATCTTAGTTGAAAAGAAATAAAATCAAAGCAAGGCTTATTAAATCCCAGAAAATTCACCAAAATTGTGACCCTGCACGAAGAAGAAAAGAAATTGAAATAGGGTTTCGTCGCTTCTAAGTATGGAAATTCTTATAACCCGGCATGCGCGCTAAAGGAAGAATAAGAATACCTGTACTAGAGGAATTTTCTCCTCGTTCATCGTTAGCGTTTTGATTTGCTTGAAACTTGAAATATCAGACTGTCACATGTGAGAAGGAGACAGAGTCGTAAAATTCACTCTATTTGCATTTTGTTGATTTATGTTTTATTATTAATGATATATATGAATAGGAATTAAGTCAGAAAAATAAGTCTTCATTTACGCTGACCAATCAGGAGAGCCAACAACAACACTATCGGTTTCGTAATAACACAAAATTTTACTCTATACAATAAACAAAATGGTTCGGCCGCTGGCAACTTTTGTCTTGTTAACAATTTAAAAAACCGAGTCGATACTTACGAACGATGTATTCAGACTTTGAATATTACAGGTGTTAATGTGTTACTTCTAAATAACTCAGGTTTTATCAATTCCCTCCCCCTTCGCTTTCGAACGCCTACCACGCAGGCTACATAATTGGCTGCACAGTATGCGTTTGCGCCTTCCGTATGTTATTTATACACTGTAAATCAGAAAGATCTGTCTTAGCCCTAAAAATGGGGCCGTTTCGGTGAGTAAAATACAGTCCTATTTTTGAGTCTGATTTGGCTCCCTTTAATCAGGGCCAATACAGTCCAATTAGCTAGGGCTGATTTGGACCCAAGGGCTGAAATGGGCCCAGAGTGGGCTCCAGATCTTTTTTTTGTCAGTGTGGGAAAAGAGCGTAATAAAATACCCTTTTTTTTCGTATCAGAGATGACTTTAAAATTGTAAAACCGAATACTTTAAAGGCAAATTTTGAATTAAGTAATAATTCAATGGATGCACTTCTAATTAGTTGTTCTTCATCAACTGTAGTAGCTTGAAGTACCCGGAATGAACCTAATTAACAGTCATTGACACTTCTGCAAGACTCAAGTGAACGCTATTAGAAACGTTGTAGAAAATCAGAAATGACCGGAAATCCTAAAATCTAGGACTTCAAATCCTGTGCCCCCAGAGCCTCCTGGCCCTGATGCTCAGGCCCCCAGGAGGCTCTGGGGACGAGAGTGGTAAACCGTGTGAACTTTCAACCTTGCCACCACAGCCTTTCCCTCAGAAAATGAAAAAAAAACCCCGAGCCCTGGTGAACTGTATGATTTAGGGTTTGTTCGATTGATCGTACTCCGAAATAAGAATACGGAAAAGTTTTGTTACAAACCCTTGTACCGTGATTTTTGGACCATTTTAACTCTACATCATTTCATAATCGGAATATTTTATTTCAAGCAGATTTCTAAATATTGCAATGTGAATGCCAAAACTAGCGATTTCTAGAGCTTATGCACGCTCTAAGGCTACCTTCACCCTTGGTACACTGACATGCCCCAACAGGGTACCCTGAAGAACTAAAGTGCAAACAACCTTAAGTAAAACCCACGTGAGCATTTTTTTTGTTTTGTTTTTCTGTTTGTGCCTCTGCAGGCTATTAAAAAATAAATATGAAGAAAAAAATGGCGCTGACCATGCTGAGAGAGGCTTTTCTGCTTGCGTTCTAAGAGCAGGAAAAAAAAGAAAAGATTTAAAATCCTAAAATTCAGTGCCTGTGTTTTGGAATACTTGCTTATATCGTGCCAATTTTTCTGCATTCTAAAGTTTTCTTCGGTAGGCGTTTGTCAGATCAAGCTTCCTCAGCAAGAACCAAGTTTCCGTTGACGCGAACCTGTACAGAAATGACAAATCAGTTTGGAATGAAAATAAAATAAAGCGTTTTAGTATCGCCAGCTGACTGCCTAGTCACGTTTTCTGGACTAGTTCGTATTTAGAAACTAATTAAGAAATAAAAAATTACGGGAAGGGATTTTGCTAAAGTAAAGTTGACTTCAACTCGTAAAAACAAAAATTGAGGAAATGAGTTGTTTTGATAGTTACTACGTGTCTGTGTGATTTCCCGTGAGGAGAAACAACAAGACAGTTAAAGGACATGGTAGCCGTTAAAGCAGAAGTTATTTGATTTATAATTTCCGTGCCCATACCTAGCATGTATTGTTTTGCTTGTTCATTAGTCGTTGGCGCGCTTTAAAGGAAAAAAAATTCGTTTCGGTGGGGCGTCCCTATTCCTTAGATGGCCTTTGGGCTTGATATAAGATTTAGCTTTTATTGTGTAGAAAGATACACTTGCTGTGATTTTTTAGTACTGAGTTTGTCTTTCATCTTCCGCAACACAAAAAATATAATTACCTCGTGGCCATTTGGGGGCGTAAGTCTTTATATTAGCTGACATGCAGAACTTTTTAAAGGCCTAAAGGCGAAAACGTGGTATTCTAAATTCCATTCTGGAGCAAAATTGCCCTGTGAGCAAGCTTGTATTGTTGGCAGAAGTTGCTCCTTTTGTAACCCTAAAATATGTTTACTGAATACGTCTAAGAGTAAACTTACCAATAGACTATGTTCGATACAATTAGCTCAATATCGTAAAAGAAAACCTTTCTTAAGTTAAAGGTAAAGAGGGACAAAATGCAAATAATAACAAAAAAAATTAAAATAACGCCAGAAACTATCCACAGGATATAAATTTTGGGCACTTTATAAATCAGTAAAGCCGGTCTGACACTGGTGCATGGTTAGCTATTTTTAGTATTGTTTTGTTGCCGAGAAGTCAGAGAACGACAATGAATTCCTCTTATGTAAATCAATCAGTCCTGCATGAGCTGGTGGGTGTTATGTTTGAAGTGAATGAACAAAATGAATATTCCTAAGTTTTTCATTTTGCATTTATCACATTCTTAGTGGGAACAGAGGTTTTGTTTCATGAAGCGGGACTAACACTTAATTTTTGACAACAGCCTCTCCGCTTAAACACAAAAGGTGAATGCTTCCAGTGAAAGTGCGACAGTATCGGTAAAACCTCTTCTAACAGGGAAATTTCTGTAATGATATTTTAGACAATTTTTACAAAGATGCTTTTACTTTACAATTAAGAGGCTAGAGAACTCTTACGTTTGAGTGAATAGTGTCATCCCAAAGTGTTTTTGTTTAAATAAAATGCTTGCCGTATCTTTTTTGCTGCTTTGCTATCATGGCTATACTTGACTATACGCTGGCTCCTTTGAGAAAAGAAATGTTATTCAGGGTAGTGTATTAAGTTGATCTGCATGAATGTGCACGATTATTTGATGGGAGTTTGAAGCAATACATAAAGTTCGAGAAATAAAAATTACATGTATTAAACAATGTTTCAGTCTCAAATATCTGAGACTCATCCACTCGGTAAAGGATGATTCGGCAAAGGAAGAAAATTCAGTATTACAAGTTCCTAATTAATCTACTCCTTCTGCCATCTGGTCTTCCTACTTTTAATATGACAAAACTGAATAAACAAACGGCATTTGCAGAACCTTCGTTTAACTTTTTAGTTTGGCCATCAAAAGCAGAGTGAATTATTGGCAGGACGTATACCAAGACTTCGAAGACTATAGATCATTTCCCATATCTATCAAAAACTCTCTCATAAAACATAACGGCTTATCCGAACGAAACAAACACATAGTTTTCTCTCACGACCAGCATATGCTCGGTGTCATCGCTACCACAACGTTGGTGGGAAATCACTCTTGGTCTTATCACACATGAAACTCCGCGGAGAACATACTTTTTAGTAATATTTAGCACAAACATAAACTCGTACAATTTGACCTGACGAGTACGCGGGTAAAATTTACAACGCCAACAGCCAACAATTTGAAACGAAATGTGGAACCAAGTTAAATCTGTGCTTTTATTTAAATAAAAAAAAAATAGAATGACTGTTTATTGCACTGAAAACAAGCAGCAAGTTTTTTTGGAATTACGATGTCAAATGTATCACTTTAGATACAGTTAACACATAGTGTTAATGTAAACATACAGGTTGTTTTCGACCCGTGAATTGCAAAAACGGAATCATATTTTATTTTAGGAGTACTTCCCTCAAGTTCAGCTGCTTTCTTTACCGTCAAAATAGTCTTTAATTTTTACATAGATAAGAACCAATTTTAACAAAAGAGTCAATTTGCATGCTAAGACTGATTCTTCTGGCTTTTAAAGCAAAATTAAAGGGTCGTGTTTGTAAGTGTGTGTGTGTGTGTGTGTGTGTGTGTGTGCGTGTGTGTGTGTGTTTTTTTTAAATGCGCCAGGCAGCGTTTTATAGAATTGGCCAGCTATACCAATTAAGGTATCCATTTTGTTTCCGTGAACACTGATACCGCGTATATTTCCTTGCTTCCTCCACTTGTTTCATCCATCATTTATAACAATTGATTTATGGCATCGATTCTATGTTTTAACTGATATACATTAAGGAGTTGCTGGCGATAGCCACAGAAATCCTCAATTAATATGATGCACTCTCGATTTTGTCTCGTTTTGTTTCCACTTGCAGAAAGCAAACTTCTCTCCAATTGACTCCCACAAGCTTGACCGAAATTTTCCGTTCAAAAACCCGTATAAAAATGGGTTTAAGGCACTATTGAGAAACGTTAGGAGCATGACTGGTACCTTGACTGTTCTGGAGAAACGACGGTGATGAATAGAGCTATAGAATATGAAAATAAAGTAAGGGCTCCAACAGATTAGAAAAACCGCCACAATTAACCAAAGCATTTTAAAACCCCTCGCCTTTTGCCGTCGTCTGTTCTTTATGATCCTTGAGGTATATAACTTCTTGAAACGTGAGGTGTTAGTCGCAGAAGTTATTTCTTCTCCTACAATAGTGTTTTCTGGCGTATGAGCAATGGTGGTTTCACCATGGTAGTCTGTGATAACGTTGAGTTGGGAACTGCTTGGTTGCGTGCTGTTAATCGGGTTAGGCGGGGTCACTTTGGCTTGATGAACCCGGCGAAATTGTCTCCTGGCTGTGAACAGAATGGAGACATATGTGAATGCGATTATTGAAAATGGCCCAACAAAACAAGTTATGAATAAAAATATTGTGTAGCCGTTATCAGCTGTAGGTTTTCCGAACTCCGGCCGGCAAATTGATTCTTCAACAACAAATTTGTAGCCCTGTCCCCAGCCAATGACAGGCAGAATGGAGCATACAGCAGCATGAAGCCAAACATATACCAACATCATTACACTTTTCCTGTGCGTGACTAGGATGCAGTATTTCAGTGGACGACATATCGCCAGATATCGATCGATAGCTACTAAAACCAAAGTTAGAATAGACGCAATACACAGAACTGAGATCAGAAACCCTGTAAGCTTACACATGACCTCGCCAAATACCCATCGGCCGGTGATGGCGGACACCAAAGCAAAAGGCATACACAGCACGGATAACAAGAAATCTGTAGCCGCGAGATTAAAGATAAAAGAGTTCGTAATCGTTCGTAGAGATCGGTGAACCAGAATACAGCGACATATAAAGCTGTTAGCTACGGCGCTAACTATCATTATCAGTGTAAGAAAAACGCTTTGGACAACAATCAAGGCGGGGAGGTTGGACGCTTGCACTGGTTTAAGACTAGCATTCCTGGAATTGTCCATGCTCGATTCAAGGTCAACAGCGGAGTGTTTAGCTGTTGATGCCCGATGCTTGTTTGGTATTTTCCTTTAAATGCTGCACTTATCAATGTCTTCGGCAAATTTTACACTAGGATCTGCCGGGACGCTAAGTGCTAATGTAGAAGCCTTGACGAGTCAAGATAATCCAGGTCGTTTCTCCTGTATTTTAACACATTTCTCGCGTAAAACATCTCCATAATACTTGCTTTTACTTCTTACGACTGCCTTCTGCTGTAACATTGAGCTTAAAAAAAGCATGATGAATATTTAAACAACAACTACATCAGTGCTCCGTATACGTGCATGTCTTCCCCGAAAGCAATTAGATATGTGCGCACGTAAGAATCCATTACAATCACACACCTGCCGAATGTAAATAAAAACAACAAATTCACAGACTGTCCACAGATTTCCATTTCAATATCTGTAAATTGACTTTTGGCTGGAACAACTGATGTTGAATTTAATCGTATCTTCTTTTCGGTTTCAACAAAACACAATTTGTCTTTTAACGGGGTGTGTGCATTAAGGCCGTGAAACGAATTGTTTATAGCTATTAAAAGTCTACAGGAAAGCTAAATGAAATGCGCTGTTAATTAAAAGCAAACTCAGTTCTTTAAGATCTTTCTTGAACAAAAGAGCTTTCCTTTTAAAAGATGACTTTGATGGAAGTTTTCAACATGAGGAAGGGAACACACATTGCTAGAAAGATTGGTTTCTAGCATTGATTACACTGATAGCGGAGGGTTCAGATTCACCAGTGATAGAAAACGTTCCAGAAGTTTCCTTTTCGTGGAATCTAAAACAAATATTTTCGAATTCAAAGCCGTAAAAAGAGTAATAAACGTTAGAATTTTTTTTTCTGCTAAATCAAAAGGGATCAAGTTGCTTTTTGTTGAGGCGAGTTCTGTTCTGTTCTGTATGTGGAACCTGGCAGTCTGCACCTTCTTCACTTATCGCATAATGATGTTTAACAGTTTATCTTTAAAAAATATTCATTTTTTCCGATATAAGATCAGACCAGGTCAAAAATCAGTAAAAAAGAATTTTTTTTTCAGTCGGACGCAAAAAGAGAAAAAAGACAAGGAAACGAACACAAATGAATTTTCTTTTAGATAGCGCTATAACCTTTTCTGAAGCGTGACAGCACCAAGACTCTCTCTAATAAAGATTTCTTGTGAAAGAACAAACAAACGCGGACAGGCAGATCCTGTGCAAATATTTGATGTCAAAAGTGTCAAGGTGACTCGCCATTTTATGCAAATACTGATTTTTTTCCAAGTGAAAATCCCCTTTTAGAAATGACACCGAATCAATTTTGTTTTGATTAATATTCACCTTTTTTTTCTACATTTTTCTACAAATTGAAATCATTTTCATTTTGTTGTAAGAATCATGATCCCATTCTTTGAAATATAGAGTTCCAGGAACAAAACGATAACACTCGATAATTTCTCCTGATGAATATTCGCTTTGAATTAATTTGGAATTTTCTGCAAAGCTACAATAGGTCAGTTACAAAGTATGAAGATTCATATTTGGCTCTTACGCTGAGGGGAATCTAACAACCATAAAAAAAAATGAAAAAATAAAAAATCAATGAACCAATTAAAATTCATACTTGGCTGCGATGCTTGGGGGGAACAAAATAAAAGAAATCATCTTGAGGGTCAGAAATGAATAATACATTTCTTTTGTTTTATTTCCCCAAGCCTCGCAGCCAAGTTTGAATTTTGATATATCGAAAATGGTCTATTCCTTTTTCCCAGTGTCATCAATTAATGCCATTCCTTTTTCAACCTCGTTCCCAGGGTCTTCTCGTTTTCCAAGAAGACGAGAAGAACCTGGGGTCGAGGTTGGTCCTTTTCCTTTTTTTCTCAGCCTCAGAGAAAGGTATAAAGTTTAATAATTCGAAACTGGCCTATTTGCAATGCAGAGAATAATTATCCGAATTAGGTATCAGTCGACACCCAATGTTTCGTTCGTTAGTTGAATCATATGCCATGGGCCAAATTCATATTCTGAATTTTTTTAAACAAACATCCTTCATTCACACTCTGTATACATTAGATGCTGACTTATTATTCTCAAAATGGTGTTATGAAGTACATGCTAAACTTGGAAATAGAAGGGAAATTCCAGCTTTTAACGGACGAATCCGGTTCTTGACGCTGTTCGCTATATTCACCATGGACTGTTTCAATCATATTTATGCACCTGTTGGTTCCGCTTACGATACGATGAGATGACATTGTCACTTTAAATAGACCAAGATAGAAATTCATTTACAGTACTTTCTTAATAAAATATTTGTTGGCTCTACTTTTTCCTTTTGTTACGCAAAATGCGAGAGGTATCTATCGCGCATGTCAGACATAACGATTCAGTGATTCGAGATTACTTCTGTTAATTGATTATCTTTGTTCCCTTTCGCCATATTTCACACTGGCTTTCTTCTTCACTCTTCCTTTTTTTTAAAAATTTAAGAAAGCCAACCTTTATGATGTCTTTGCTGTTTGCTTTGTTGTTTTTTTTAGCCGCAAGTGCAACATTGAGCTGCAAACTCTCCACAACAAACCAACCAATATAAGACCAATAGTAAGAATAGTAAACCCGAATTTCCTAGATCACCGATTAAATGGGTTTTTATGTCCTCGTAAGGTGAACAATTTTTAGCATGAATTATGCTTTTTAAAATAGTTCAGTCTATGCGAAGGCAGTGATGATTATACACACTAACTGAAGGTCAGCGGTAAATAAGGTACCTGATTTGACTCGTACCAGTCTCTTTAATACCACACCTGTTATTTCAGTCTTGTCAAGAGACATAAATATGGCTCCTGGCCTTGTCTATTGGTCTTAAAAAAGTGTTTTAATTCTGTTAAGAATTCCGAGCCGAGTATAAAATGAAAAAGAAAACCTTATCTCTTTGAGCTAAAGGTTTCAACGGTTGCTTCGACTCCAAACAATGTAGTAATTTTTTTTCCGTTTTCTAAAGTAATGCTGAACATATGTCAAGCAAGGATACATTGCTGCGAGCGACAGGTGATTTTGAAGTAAAATCACACACCTCTGCTGAGTTTAAAACTTTCTTAGAACTACATCGATGGTTCCCCTTTAAAAAAAAACTCTACGTTTTTCATGCAAGGAAACGTAATAAATTGTGAAATAACCAGAAAACGTTCGAGCTAATTTTGTCTTTAATTAAATTTAAAATTCAAGCGTCTGCTCTCAAAGCCATCATTGTGCGGTGAAAATATTTGATTTCTGTAGAACTGAAAATTATCTTGTCTGTACGTGTTTTAAGTTCTCGGCTATTTATATACAAAAAATCTTAGTTGAAAAGAAATAAAATCAAAGCAAGGCTTATTAAATCCCAGAAAATTCACCAAAATTGTGACCCTGCACGAAGAAGAAAAGAAATTGAAATAGGGTTTCGTCGCTTCTAAGTATGGAAATTCTTATAACCCGGCATGCGCGCTAAAGGAAGAATAAGAATACCTGTACTAGAGGAATTTTCTCCTCGTTCATCGTTAGCGTTTTGATTTGCTTGAAACTTGAAATATCAGACTGTCACATGTGAGAAGGAGACAGAGTCGTAAAATTCACTCTATTTGCATTTTGTTGATTTATGTTTTATTATTAATGATATATATGAATAGGAATTAAGTCAGAAAAATAAGTCTTCATTTACGCTGACCAATCAGGAGAGCCAACAACAACACTATCGGTTTCGTAATAACACAAAATTTTACTCTATACAATAAACAAAATGGTCCGGCCGCTGGCAACTTTTGTCTTGTTAACAATTTAAAAAACCGAGTCGATACTTACAAACGATGTATTCAGACTTTGAACATTACAGGTGTTAATGTGTTACTTCCAAATAACTCAGGTTTTGTCAATTCCCTTCCCCTTCGCTTTCGAACGCCTGCCAGGCAGGCTATAGAATTGGCTGCACAGTATGCGTTTGCGCCTTCCGTATGTTATTTACACACTGTAAAATCGGAAAGATCTATTTTAGCCCTAAAAATGGGGCAGTTTCGGTGAGTAAAATACAGTCCTATTTTTGAGTCTAATTTGGCTCCCTTTAATCAGGGCCAATACAGTCCAATTAGCTAGGGCTGATTTGGACCCAAGGGCTGAAATGGGCCCCAGAGTGGGCTGGAATAGCCTTTAGATTGAGCTTTTTTGGCTTGAATTGATCTCATATGGCTCCAGATCTTTTTTTGTCAGTGTGGGAACAGAGCGTAATAAAATACACTTTTTTCGTATCAGAGATGATTTTAAAATTGTGAAACCGAATACTTTAAAGGCAAATTTTGAATTTAGTAATAATTCAATGGATGCACATCTAATTAGTTTGTTCTTCATCAACTGTAGTAGCTTGAAGTACCCGGAATGAACCTAATTAACAGTCATTGACACTTCTGCAAGAGCAAGTGAACGCTATTAGAAACGTTGTAGAAAATCAGAAATGACCGGAAGTCCTAAAATCTAGGACTTCAAATCCTGTGTCCCCAGAGCCTCCTAGTCCTGATGCTCAGGCCCCTAGGAGGCTCTGGGGACGAGAGTGGTAAACCTTGTGAACTGTCAACCTTTCCACCACAGCCTTTCCCTCAAAAAAAGAAAAAAAAAAAAAAAAAACGGAGCCCTGGTGAACTGTATGATTTAGGGTTTGTTCGATTGATCGTACTCCGGAATAAGAATACGGAAAAGTTTTGTTACAAACTCTTGTACCGTGATTTTTGGACCATTTTTATAACTCTACATCATTTCATAATCGGGATATTTTATTTCAAGCAGATTTCTAAATATTGCAATGTGAATGCTAAAACTAGCGATTTCTAGAGCTTATGCACGCTCTAAGGCTACCTTCGTGACCCTTGGTACACGGACATGCCCCAACAGGGTACCCTGAGGAACTAAAGTGCAAACAACCTTAAGTAAAACCAACGTGGGCATTTTTTTTTGTTTTTACTGTTTGTGCTTCTGCATGCTATAAAAAATAAATATGAAGAAAAAAATGGTGCTGACCATGCTGAGAGAGACTTTTCTGCTCTGATTTAAAATCCTAAAATTCAGTGCTTGTGTCTTAGAATACTTCCTTACATTGTGCCAATTTTTCTGCATTCTAAAGTTTTCATTGGTACGCGTTTGTTAGATCAAGCTTCCTCAGCAAGAACCAAGTTTCCGTTGACGCGGACCTGTACAGAAATGATAAATCAATTTGGAATGAAAAGAAAATAAAGCATTTTAGTATCGCCAGCTGACTGCCTAGTCACGTTTTCTGGACTGGTTCGTATTTAGAAACTAATTAAGAAATAAAAAATTAAGGGAAGGGATTTTGCTAAAGTAAAGTTGACTTCAACTCGTAAAAACAAAAATTGAGGAAATGAGTTGTTTTGATAGTTACTAAGTGTCTGTGTGATTTCCCGTGAGAAGAAACAACAAGACAGGTAAAGGGCATGGTCGCCGTTAAAGCAGAAGTTATTTGATTTATAATTTCCGAAACAATACCTAGCATGTATTGTTTTGCTTGTTCATTAGTCGTTGGCGCGCTTTACAGGAAGAAAAATTCGTTTCGGTGGGGCTTCCCTATTCTTTAGATGGCCTTTGGGCTTGATATAAGATTTAGCTTTTATTGTGTAGAAAGATACACTTGTTGTGATTTTTTAGTACTGAGTTTGTCTTTCATCTTCCGCAACACAAAAAATATAATTACCTCGTGGTCATTTGGGGGCGCAAGTTTTTATTAGCTGACATGAAGAACTTTTAAAAGGCCTAAAGGCGAAAACGTGGTATTCTAAATTCCATTCTGGAGCAAAAATTGCCTTTTGAGCAAGCTTGTATTGTTGACAGAAGTTGCTCCTTTTGTAACCCTAAAATATCGTTTATTGAACACGTTTAAGAGTAAATGTCCAGTAGAATTATTAGCTCAACATCGTAAAAAAAGCCTTTCTGAAGTTGTAGGTAAAAATGCAAATAATAACAAAAAAAATTGAAATAACGCCAAAAACCATCCACAGGATATACATTTTGGGTATCAAATTTAGGGTATCTTTATAAATCAGTAAAGCCGGGCTGACACTGGTGCATGGTTGGCTATTCTCTTGTTTTGTTGCCGAGAAGTCAGAGAACAACAATGAATTCCCCTTTTATGTAAATCAGTCAGTCCTGCATCAGCTAGTGGGTGTTATGTGGGTGGGTGTAAACGAAAAAAATAAATACTCCTAAGTGTTTCATTTTGCATTTATCACATTCTTAGTGGGAACAGAGATTTTGTTTCATGAAGCGGGACTAATACTTAATTTTTGACAACAGCCTCTCCGCTTAAACACAAAAGGTGAATGCTTCCAGTGAAAGTGCGACAGTATCGGTAAAACCTCTTCTAACAGGAAAATTTCTGTAATGATATTTTAGATATTTCTGTAATGATATTTTTACAAAGATGCTTTTACTTTACAATTAAGAGGCTAGAGAACTCTTACGTTTGAGTGAATAATGTTATCCCAAAGTGTTTTTGTTTAAATAAAATGCTTGCCGTATCTTTTTTGCTGCTTTGCTATCATGGCTATACTTGGCTATACGCTGGCTCCTTTGAGAAAAGAAATGTTATTGGTAGTGTATTAGGTTGATCTGCATGAATGTGCACGATTATTTGATGGGAGTTTGAAGCAATACATAAAGTTCGACAAATAAAAATTACATGTATTAAAGAATGTTTCAGTCTCAAATATCTGAGACTCATTCACTCGGTAAAGGATGATTCGGCAAAGGAAGAAAATTCAGTATTACAAGTTCCTAATTAATCTACTCCTTGTGCCATCTGGTCTTCCTACTTTTAATATGACAAAATTGAATAAACAAACGGAATTTGCAGAACCTTCGTTTAACTTTTTAGTTTGGCCATCAAAAGCAGAGTGAATTATTGGCAGGACGTATACCAAGACTTCGAAGACTATAGATCATTTCCCATATCTTTCAAAAACTCTCTTATAAAACATAACGGCTTATCCGAACGAAACAAACACATAGTTTTCTCTCACGACCAGCATATGCTCGGTGTCATCGCTACCACAACGTTGGTGGGAAATCACTCTTGGTCTTATCACACATGAAACTCCGCGGAGAACATACTTTTTAGTAATATTTAGCACAAACATAAACTCGTACAATTTGACCTGACGAGTACGCGGGTAAAATTTACAACGCCAACAGCCAACAATTTGAAACGAAATGTGGAACCAAGTTAAATCTGTGCTTTTATTTAAATAAAAAAAAAATAGAATGACTGTTTATTGCACTGAAAACAAGCAGCAAGTTTTTTTGGAATTACGATGTCAAATGTATCACTTTAGATACAGTTAACACATAGTGTTAATGTAAACATACAGGTTGTTTTCGACCCGTGAATTGCAAAAACGGAATCATATTTTATTTTAGGAGTACTTCCCTCAAGTTCAGCTGCTTTCTTTACCGTCAAAATAGTCTTTAATTTTTACATAGATAAGAACCAATTTTAACAAAAGAGTCAATTTGCATGCTAAGACTGATTCTTCTGGCTTTTAAAGCAAAATTAAAGGGTCGTGTTTGTAAGTGTGTGTGTGTGTGTGTGTGTGTGTGTGTGCGTGTGTGTGTGTGTTTTTTTTAAATGCGCCAGGCAGCGTTTTATAGAATTGGCCAGCTATACCAATTAAGGTATCCATTTTGTTTCCGTGAACACTGATACCGCGTATATTTCCTTGCTTCCTCCACTTGTTTCATCCATCATTTATAACAATTGATTTATGGCATCGATTCTATGTTTTAACTGATATACATTAAGGAGTTGCTGGCGATAGCCACAGAAATCCTCAATTAATATGATGCACTCTCGATTTTGTCTCGTTTTGTTTCCACTTGCAGAAAGCAAACTTCTCTCCAATTGACTCCCACAAGCTTGACCGAAATTTTCCGTTCAAAAACCCGTATAAAAATGGGTTTAAGGCACTATTGAGAAACGTTAGGAGCATGACTGGTACCTTGACTGTTCTGGAGAAACGACGGTGATGAATAGAGCTATAGAATATGAAAATAAAGTAAGGGCTCCAACAGATTAGAAAAACCGCCACAATTAACCAAAGCATTTTAAAACCCCTCGCCTTTTGCCGTCGTCTGTTCTTTATGATCCTTGAGGTATATAACTTCTTGAAACGTGAGGTGTTAGTCGCAGAAGTTATTTCTTCTCCTACAATAGTGTTTTCTGGCGTATGAGCAATGGTGGTTTCACCATGGTAGTCTGTGATAACGTTGAGTTGGGAACTGCTTGGTTGCGTGCTGTTAATCGGGTTAGGCGGGGTCACTTTGGCTTGATGAACCCGGCGAAATTGTCTCCTGGCTGTGAACAGAATGGAGACATATGTGAATGCGATTATTGAAAATGGCCCAACAAAACAAGTTATGAATAAAAATATTGTGTAGCCGTTATCAGCTGTAGGTTTTCCGAACTCCGGCCGGCAAATTGATTCTTCAACAACAAATTTGTAGCCCTGTCCCCAGCCAATGACAGGCAGAATGGAGCATACAGCAGCATGAAGCCAAACATATACCAACATCATTACACTTTTCCTGTGCGTGACTAGGATGCAGTATTTCAGTGGACGACATATCGCCAGATATCGATCGATAGCTACTAAAACCAAAGTTAGAATAGACGCAATACACAGAACTGAGATCAGAAACCCTGTAAGCTTACACATGACCTCGCCAAATACCCATCGGCCGGTGATGGCGGACACCAAAGCAAAAGGCATACACAGCACGGATAACAAGAAATCTGTAGCCGCGAGATTAAAGATAAAAGAGTTCGTAATCGTTCGTAGAGATCGGTGAACCAGAATACAGCGACATATAAAGCTGTTAGCTACGGCGCTAACTATCATTATCAGTGTAAGAAAAACGCTTTGGACAACAATCAAGGCGGGGAGGTTGGACGCTTGCACTGGTTTAAGACTAGCATTCCTGGAATTGTCCATGCTCGATTCAAGGTCAACAGCGGAGTGTTTAGCTGTTGATGCCCGATGCTTGTTTGGTATTTTCCTTTAAATGCTGCACTTATCAATGTCTTCGGCAAATTTTACACTAGGATCTGCCGGGACGCTAAGTGCTAATGTAGAAGCCTTGACGAGTCAAGATAATCCAGGTCGTTTCTCCTGTATTTTAACACATTTCTCGCGTAAAACATCTCCATAATACTTGCTTTTACTTCTTACGACTGCCTTCTGCTGTAACATTGAGCTTAAAAAAAGTATGATGAATATTTAAACAACAACTACATCAGTGCTCCGTATACGTGCATGCATGTCTTCCCCGAAAGCAATTAGATATGTGCGCACGTAAGAATCCATTACAATCACACACCTGCCGAATGTAAATAAAAACAACAAATTCACAGACTGTCCACAGATTTCCATTTCAATATCTGTAAATTGACTTTTGGCTGGAACAACTGATGTTGAATTTAATCGTATCTTCTTTTCGGTTTCAACAAAACACAATTTGTCTTTTAACGAGGTGTGTGCATTAAGGCCGTGAAACGAATTGTTTATAGCTATTAAAAGTCTACAGGAAAGCTAAATGAAATGCGCTGTTAATTAAAAGCAAACTCTGTTCTTTAAGATCCTTTTTGAACAAAAGAGCTTTCCTTTTAAAAGATGACTTTGATGGAAGTTTTCAACATGAGGAAGGGAACACACATTGCTAGAAAGATTGGTTTCTAGCATTGATTACACTGATAGCGGAGGGTTCAGATTCACCAGTGATAGAAAACGTTCCAGAAGTTTCCTTTTCGTGGAATCTAAAACAAATATTTTCGAATTCAAAGCCGTAAAAAGAGTAATAAACGTTAGAATTCTTTTTTCTGCTAAATCAAAAGGGTTCAAGTTGCTTTTTGTTGAGGCGAGTTCTGTTCTGTTCTGTATGTGGAACCTGGCAGTCTGCACCTTCTTCGCTTATCGCATAATGATGTTTAACAGTTTATCTTTAAAAAATATTCATTTTTTCCGATATAAGATCAGACCAGGTCAAAAATCAGTAAAAAAGAATTTTTTTTTCAGTCGGACGCAAAAAGAGAAAAAAGACAAGGAAACGAACACAAATGAATTTTCTTTTAGATAGCGCTATAACCTTTTCTGAAGCGTGACAGCACCAAGACTCTCTCTAATAAAGATTTCTTGTGAAAGAACAAACAAACGCGGACAGGCAGATCCTGTGCAAATATTTGATGTCAAAAGTGTCAAGGTGACTCGCCATTTTATGCAAATACTGATTTTTTTCCAAGTGAAAATCCCCTTTTAGAAATGACACCGAATCAATTTTGTTTTGATTAATATTCACCTTTTTTTTCTACATTTTTCTACAAATTGAAATCATTTTCATTTTGTTGTAAGAATCATGATCCCATTCTTTGAAATATAGAGTTCCAGGAACAAAACGATAACACTCGAGAATTTCTCCTGATGAATATTCGCTTTGAATTAATTTGGAATTTTCTGTAAAGCTACAATAGGTCAGTTACAAAGTATGAAGATTCATATTTGGCTCTTACGCTGAGGGGAATCTAACAACCATAAAAAAAAAATGAAAAAATAAAAAATCAATGAACCAATTAAAATTCATACTTGGCTGCGATGCTTGGGGGGAACAAAATAAAAGAAATCATCTTGAGGGTCAGAAATGAATAATACATTTCTTTTGTTTTATTTCCCCAAGCCTCGCAGCCAAGTTTGAATTTTGATATATCGAAAATGGTCTATTCCTTTTTCCCAGTGTCATCAATTAATGCCATTCCTTTTTCAACCTCGTTCCCAGGGTCTTCTCGTTTTCCAAGAAGACGAGAAGAACCTGGGGTCGAGGTTGGTCCTTTTCCTTTTTTTCTCAGCCTTAGAGAAAGGTATAAAGTTTAATAATTCGAAACTGGCCTATTTGCAATGCAGAGAATAATTATCCGAATTAGATATCAGTCGACACCCAATGTTTCGTTCGTTAGTTGAATCATATGCCATGGGCCAAATTCATATTCTGAATTTTTTTAAACAAACATCCTTCATTCACACTCTGCATACATTAGATGCTGACTTATTATTCTCAAAATGGTGTTATGAAGTACATGCTAAACTTGGAAATAGAAGGGAAATTCCAGCTTTTAACGGACGAATCCGGTTCTTGACGCTGTTCGCTATATTCACCATGGACTGTTTCAATCATATTTATGCACCTGTTGGTTCCGCTTACGATACGATGAGATGACATTGTCACTTTAAATAGACCAAGATAGAAATTCATAGTGATCGTCTGGGGCAAAAGCGTGCAACAGAGTAAGCCTTTAAGAATAACTTAGTTCAGTATCCTTCCCAGCATTCTGCTCCAGCTCGTTCGCTCTTTGCTTTCGCGTCTTTCACAGCACTGCCGCTGAACAAAACTGCAATGTACGTGGGCGACAACAAGAGACGCTAGAGCCCTTTTCTACTGAGAAGGTCCCGGGAATTACTGGGACGTTTGAGAGACGGGCCCCTGGAGTGGATTACATGAACGGAGCGCGGCGCAATCTCAGTTATCAGTTAGATTTTCGGTGATCTCTCAGTTAACTATTAATAAAAAACATTCATTAATTAATTTAAAAAACATCTTCACTACCCAGCTAACAATAAAACATTTGACCTATTCTCAGCTACTGGTAAAAATGCAGAGCCCCATCCTGTGTGAATTGGGACAAGGAACTAAAGGAGAGGGTAATTAGTCGAGGATGGACCTAAAGAGGTTCCTCTACCTTTTCCCCGCCCTGCTATCTCCTCCTGACGCTCGTTTGTTCTCGGCTTGGTTCCTATTCTCTCTTTTATATCATGGCAAACCAAAAATTGGCTGTCATTTTTCTGACAGTTTATGAATTTCTGCCTCGGATTAATAGTGAAGTTTCATGGTCCTGTTCACTCCGGCACGTACAATAAATCAGAAGGTTTCAAGAAGAATGTGCTAATTTTTTTAAGAAGAATATTTTATTATTTTTCATTAATGTACGGGTATTTTCTGGATGCTTCTGTGCTACTATCTCAGGGACATTTACATAGTGATAGGGCTTACACAGGCTTTTCAAGGTCAAGATAGCAAAAAAATGCAGTCCATATATACAGGTTATGAGAGCCTTTTATTGCCGACTGTATTAAGGAGTCGTTTATTTTATCGACTGATTTCTGTATAATTCAATTCAGACTAGTTTTTTTTTATAATTGTAAAACCTCAGTTACACGACCCTTACGGGGTAATTCTGGTTGGTTTTTGGGGGGGAGGGGGGGGGAGATGGTGAGGAAATAGGATTGAATTTAAAATGAATGAAGGTATGTACACACAAAAAAGGTAGTCCTTTAGTGAGCTCAGGGGCACCTTGTTGTGGTGGTAGGCTATCTTTTTTTTGTCTGTTCACAAGATAATAGGACAAAGAGAGAATCTTAGGGCGTCGGCGGGGATATGTGGGATATTTTTAGAGGTTGTAATTAAACGGAAGTCTAATTCCATAGAAGTCCGCACCATAGTTAATTGAGTGGAATGGTTATGAAACCCGTCAGACTCCTTTGTTATATGTTTTTGTGGACCTGAAAGCGCACAACGTTCAAAAGAATTCCTATCGTTTTGATTGTATTGACCAATAAAAACGTTGCATTAATTCATTCCGTAACAATTTGCCAACAGAAAACAAAGGATTGTGCACTTTCACGGTACTTCCAACATAAACTGCAGCACTGTTGTTCTTATCATTGATGTTTGCCGCTTTTCATAACCAGTCTCCTCTAATAACTATATATATGTTCGCACATTTAAATCGATTGCTTGAAACGTCATCACGTCCAAGCGCGACTTTCTCAAAGCAAACACCTCTCCGGAAAACCAACTTCTGAATAATTTCAAGCGTTTAATTGGTCTAAATATAAAATAAAATAGAAACTATAACAGGATGAATTATAAGGCATGAAAGGGCGGCCTAGCCTCCCTGCAGACGTCCTTTGGGGTTCGTTCGTCACGCATTCATTTCTCCGTGGGGGAGAAATAAATGCGTGATGAACGAACCCCAAAAGGACGTTTGCGGGGAGGCTAAAGGCTGCTGGGATTGTTATTATTAGTTAGAGCAATCTTTATTTCAACTCCTTAGAATAAACATCCTCGTCTAAAGAAGAAAAAATCAATTATTTAAGGAGATTTGATGACCAACCCGGCCAAAAGACTGGGAGATTTGCCCTATGATAAGAGTTAGTAAGTAATTCAAATTTTTGTACTTGGGACCCGACAACCGATGTCGTCGCACATGATTGCCGATACTTTTTTATCATTTGCATAATTGCATTTTAATTACATTGTAAAAATTAAAAATTTGCATAATGGGCTAATATGGCTTCCAAGATCAAACTAACGAATATATTGGTAGATTTACTTTGCTTTTTAGTGGTTTTAGTTCTTTTCATCGCCGGTGAGGTCTTCATTTATGGAACTGACGAAGGTCTGTACCCGTTTAAGCGCGATTTTCTCTGTGGTGACACGAGTATACAATGGCCAAAGAAAGAAAGCACCGTTCCATTCACGATCAACGCGACTCTTTCATTTCTACTCCCTATAGTCGTGGTAAGTGATCAAGATTTAACTAGTTAACTATTACTGTATTTTCTACGGGAAAGAAAAGTA